CCTTTCCCTGACTATTTCAGTGACTGACTGCTCTGAAGATTTCAAGCTTCAACATGCCTCACCCAATCATCTCATGTCTACCGCAGCTAATATTTGTTGCCAAAGGCATAGAGAAAGGGTCAATAGTACGGTACCTTGCTTGCTCCTCTTGGCCTTTGCCTATAGTCTAAAGTTATGTGAGAACATGTTTCTTTCTACCTGTAAGGGATGTGACACCTGTCCATGCATTGCACTGCTGAATCATGGTAGTACATAGTAAGCTTCATGACACATCTTTCTAGGAATAACTCACTACCATACTTGCATCACAATGCACACGAGACAGAACATAAGTGGTGACAAACCATCCACTAGCTACGCCTCTGCTTGTAATTGCTGCCCTCTGTATCAACACAGCCAATTAGCAGAGTAGGCAAAAACGAACCAGTAATGCTCCAGGGAAGGTGCTGTGAGGCAGAAGAGAAGCAACAAAGGAATTCAAGCACGTGATGGCACTACATGCACAGGAACTAGATTGTAGACAGTGACGAGTAAGTGAGGGGGGTGGGGAGGGCATGCAAGGGAAGGGAAGGGAGAAGGGATGGGAAAGGGAAGGGAACCCCAACCGGACCACGAACTCGTCGCGGTGTAACGCACTGCTTCACACGCACTCGCAACAGCGCAGTAGTGCTGGCCACCAGGCCACGACACGGGAGGGAAGATGCGAAGGCAGGGAGAGCGGTGATGGGAAGGGAGGGATGGGAGATTGGAAGGCAGGGTTGCGTGTGAAAAGATGAGAGCAAGTGGGAGGAGCAGAAAGACAGGTAAGTTGTGGGGCAATGGTGGGAGAGGAGGGTTGACGGTTGAAACTCGACTCTGTCTGCGAGCAAGGGAGTGTGGGTGCATGGCAGCAGTTTGTGTGTGCATAGGTGTGCACAGCAGCACAGTAGCGCCATAACACCCACCTGAACAATCAGGTCTCGAGTGGGCAACACAACGACCGCTCTGACTTGTCGCACCACATGCCGCACCAGGGCCTGCATCACTGGCTGCACATACGCCAGCGTCTACTGGGAAGGGGGAAATGACCGTATTACCCACCTAGGCATCCAGGTCTCTGGCGGGCAGCACTATCACCGCCCGCACCACACGCCCTGCTAGTGACTGCACCAATGGCAGTGCATACGATAGGGTAGCAGGGGGAAACAAACCAGAAAGGAGGGGAGAAACAGAGTATAAGCTGGAGGGGAAGGAACATGGGGGAGGAGGGCTAGCACGGGTGAAAGGAAATGGTAAGCAAAGGTGGACTCTAATGAAGAGCAGGGGGGGAATTAGGAAAAGGAGGGTGGAAAAATAGGGGAAGCAAAACGGAAAAATGATGAGAAGCAAGGGAGCGAAGGCGGGACAGAGAGGAAGAGGGGAAGTGCGGAAGAGAGGAAGGGGGCAAGGGAGGAGATTGGTCGAGGTAGGGAACAGGGGGCTAGAAGAAGATTGGATGAGAGAGGAGATGGAAGGCAGGAGAAATGACGAGGAGGAGAGAAAAGGGAGGAGGTTGGACGGGGGAGGAGAGGGAAGGGAGGAAAATGGACGAGTGAGGGAAGAAAATGGATACGGAAGGAGAGTGAAGGTAGGAGAGGGGATGGAGAGGAAAAGGGGCAAGCAGAGGGGGGAAGTGAGGGAGGGAAAGGAGGGGATGCTGTGGGGGGGAGGACAGGAGGGGATGCAGGGAGGGGAAGGAGGGGATGCAGGGGGGAAATGAGGGGATGCTGTGGGGGGGGGGGACAGGAGGGGATGCAGGGAGGGAAAGGAGGGGAAGCAGGGAGGGAAAGGAGGGGATGCGTGGGGGGAAAGGAGGGGAAGCAGGGGCGGAAATGAGGGGATGCGTGGGGGGAAAGGAGGGGAAGCAGGGGCGGAAATGAGGGGATGCGTGGGGGGAAAGGAGGGGAAGCAGGGGCGGAAATGAGGGGATGCGTGGGGGGAAAGGAGGGGAAGCAGGGGCGGAAATGAGGGGATGCGTGGGGGGAAAGGAGGGGAAGCAGGGGCGGAAATGAGGGGATGCGTGGGGGGAAAGGAGGGGAAGCAGGGGCGGAAATGAGGGGATGCGTGGGGGGAAAGGAGGGGAAGCAGGGGCGGAAATGAGGGGATGCGTGGGGGGAAAGGAGGGGAAGCAGGGGCGGAAATGAGGGGATGCGTGGGGGGAAAGGAGGGGAAGCAGGGGCGGAAATGAGGGGATGCGTGGGGGGAAAGGAGGGGAAGCAGGGGCGGAAATGAGGGGATGCGTGGGGGGAAAGGAGGGGAAGCAGGGGCGGAAATGAGGGGATGCGTGGGGGGAAAGGAGGGGAAGCAGGGGCGGAAATGAGGGGATGCGTGGGGGGAAAGGAGGGGAAGCAGGGGCGGAAATGAGGGGATGCGTGGGGGGAAAGGAGGGGAAGCAGGGGCGGAAATGAGGGGATGCGTGGGGGGAAAGGAGGGGAAGCAGGGGCGGAAATGAGGGGATGCGTGGGGGGAAAGGAGGGGAAGCAGGGGCGGAAATGAGGGGATGCGTGGGGGGAAAGGAGGGGAAGCAGGGGCGGAAATGAGGGGATGCGTGGGGGGAAAGGAGGGGAAGCAGGGGCGGAAATGAGGGGATGCGTGGGGGGAAAGGAGGGGAAGCAGGGGCGGAAATGAGGGGATGCGTGGGGGGAAAGGAGGGGAAGCAGGGGCGGAAATGAGGGGATGCGTGGGGGGAAAGGAGGGGAAGCAGGGGCGGAAATGAGGGGATGCGTGGGGGGAAAGGAGGGGAAGCAGGGGCGGAAATGAGGGGATGCGTGGGGGGAAAGGAGGGGAAGCAGGGGCGGAAATGAGGGGATGAGTGGTGGGAAAGGAGGGGAAGCAGGGGCGGAAATGAGGGGATGCGTGGGGGGAAAGGAGGGGAAGCAGGGGCGGAAATGAGGGGATGCGTGGGGGGAAAGGAGGGGAAGCAGGGGCGGAAATGAGGGGATGCGTGGGGGGAAAGGAGGGGAAGCAGGGGCGGAAATGAGGGGATTCCTGGGGTAAATCCGTGAGGCAAGCAGCGCGTTACTGGTGGCTGCAGTAGGATGGCTGGCTCGCGCGCGCTTCTGGACTGAATTTCGATGGAGCGCGCGTGCTTGCAACCGCGTGCTGTTTGCTGGGCATCTAAGCGTCACATGCGCTCGCTGTGCTGGCGCGCCGCGCGGTATGCAGGCCTAAACCGTATTTTTTTGCGGCGCGCGTCTTGCTGGCAAGCTTCGCTCTGCTGAGCGCGCTATGCTAGCGCGCGGACGGAATGCCAGCATAGCGCGCGCAAGTGCCGCGCGCGGATGCCAACACAGCGCGCGAAAGTGTTGCGCGCGGAATGATAGCGTAACTGGCGCAAGTCCCGCTCACGGAATGCCATCATAGCTGGCGCCAGTGACGCGCGCGGAATGACACGACGCACACGGAGTGCCACCATCGCTGGCGCTAGTGACGCTCGCAGGCGTCGCCTGTTCTGCAAATGGCTAAATACTCACCCGCGTCTATGTATGTGGTCGCGCTGCTGGCCTAGCACCCTCCGGCCTGCTGTACCTAAACTAGTAGCTACTAGATGCGTATTCTCCGTAGTGTGATGTAGAAGGCAAGTTCGGTGACGGGAGTTTTTTCCCATTTTGTGACCCACAACCTACCCAACCATGTTCCCCTTACAACTGAAGCGCGCCAGTTTTTCGCCAACACTCTCGCTATTCTGTTTACATTTTCGTTGAGGCGAAATCGCCTGGCACACTGTGCAGAAACAACAGTGCTGCCAAATGTATACTCCTGCTTTAACCGGAAAGGTCTCGGGTTCAATGCTCGCATGTGACAGGTACGTTTGTATGTGGCAATGACTCTGGGCTTAAAGCCCCATGTACTTGCACCATGTCCCTGTACCCTATACATTTTACTATGCCCGAATCAGTGTGACTTGGTACACTGTACTGAAGCTTAAGTGTTACTGGTACACCTACACACAAATTCGTCAGGGTAGTCCTACACTTCAAACTGAAAAATCAGTGCAAACATAAAGAATATACTGAAATTTCAGGGAAAACGAAAATCACAGCTACAAAATCAGCCTAATCAGCGTGTTTTACGCTGATATCTGAGGGCCTGATGCTAGGTCTTGTGCCTACTTGGCCTCACTTGCTCACTTCTTGACCTTGCTTGTACTGTGTCTTATATATACCTGCTCTTGTTTGTTTACCTCTATATATCATCCTGCATGTGAACCGGCCTTGAGGCCTTAAACCTTTGCTCGGAATGTGTGGTGACGTTGTGATCCACCCTGAGCTTTGCTTTGGTTTGCTTTGCTTGACTGGTCTTGTGACCCCTTGTGCTGGCTATCCCCCACTTCGCCTATGGGGGTGTGTCAAATTATATGTTTAACATTTATCTATGCTATAGTACTGGGTCTAGCCTTAGGGGGTACACATATTTTCTCGACACCCTCTTGTACCACCCTACCTTGACCTAATCAAACACTTCTCGTAAGATTCTCACACTACATTCATCCTGACACTACAGGGTACAACATTACGACCATCCTGAAGTTCCAGGGCATATCGAATGACAACATCCTGAGATCACAGGGTAAAAATTACCACCGTTCTTAAATTCCAGGGCAAATTCAAAACTGCATCCTGAAATCAGGGTAATCAGGATGTTTTGCCCTGATATCGTGGGGCCTGGGTGCAATGGTCTGCTTACTTACACTCTATTTTCAAGCTACAAAAAGGTGCCCATTCATTGCTAGCTTGTTTTTCACACCACATAGCATGGCATATACCTAACCTCGTTCTCCACCGTCCGCTGCATTGCACGATAACATAGGCCCTCTAATAATTGCGGCAGCACTACCAAACGTCACTGCAACATAAATATATGAAAATTCTGCTTATAATTTTGCCGCAAGAAGGGCGTGTGGTACCCACGTGTCAGGTTAGGATTGGCTCTGACGGAAGACCAGCTATTTGTTCCAAGAAATCAGATCCATTGTTGGAGACCCTTGGAGTATCGGAGTTGACCACCTTGGATGGGAGAGACACGGGCGGAGGGGGAAAGCAGGGAGTGGGAACCGGTGAGTAAGGACGGAGGGGGTAAGAGAGTAGAGAGTGGCTCTCGATGGACCATGGCTCTTGATGGACCATGGATCTTGATGGACCATGGCTCTTGATGGACCATGGCTCTTGATGGACCATGGCTCTTGATGGTCCATGTCTCTTGATGGACCATGGCTCTTGATGGACCATGGCTCTTGATGGTCCATGGCTCTTGATGGACCATGGCTCTTGATGGTCCATGGCTCTTGATGGACCATGGCTCTTGATGGACCATGGCTCTTGATGGTCCATGGCTCTTGATGGACCATGGTTTTGCCAGCAGTGCTTCTCGGTGTGCGTGGCCAATAGAAACGTGCAAGCGTTTGGTCAGCTATACCCTGAGAGAATGATTTCCGGGCTGCACTCACTGACACACACACTCAAGTATACCCACCTTCACCACACACCCACCTTCACCACACACCCACCTTCACCACACACCCACCTTCACCACACACCCACCTTCACCACACACCCACCTTCACCACACACCCACCTTCACCACACACCCACCTTCACCACACACCCACCTTCACCACACACCCACCTTCACCACACACCCACCTTCACCACACACCCACCTTCACCACACACCCACCTTCACCACACACCCACCTTCACCACACACCCACCTTCACCACACACCCACCTTCACCACACACCCACCTTCACCACACACCCACCTTCACCACACACCCACCTTCACCACACACCCACCTTCACCACACACCCACCTTCACCACACACCCACCTTCACCACACACCCACCTTCACCACACACCCACCTTCACCACACACCCACCTTCACCACACACCCACCTTCACCACACACCCACCTTCACCACACACCCACCTTCACCACACACCCACCTTCACCACACACCCACCTTCACCACACACCCACCTTCACCACACACCCACCTTCACCACACACCCACCTTCACCACACACCCACCTTCACCACACACCCACCTTCACCACACACCCACCTTCACCACACACCCACCTTCACCACACACCCACCTTCACCACACACCCACCTTCACCACACACCCACCTTCACCACACACCCACCTTCACCACACACCCCCTTCACCACACACCCACCTTCACCACACACCCACCTTCACCACACACCCACCTTCACCACACACCCACCTTCACCACACACCCACCTTCACCACACACCCACCTTCACCACACACCCACCTTCACCACACACCCACCTTCACCACACACCCACCTTCACCACACACCCACCTTCACCACACACCCACCTTCACCACACACCCACCTTCACCACACACCCACCTTCACCACACACCCACCTTCACCACACACCCACCTTCACCACACACCCACCTTCACCACACACCCACCTTCACCACACACCCACCTTCACCACACACCCACCTTCACCACACACCCACCTTCACCACACACCCACCTTCACCACACACCCACCTTCACCACACACCCACCTTCACCACACACCCACCTTCACCACACACCCACCTTCACCACACACCCACCTTCACCACACACCCCACCTTCACCACACACCCACCTTCACCACACACCCACCTTCACCACACACCCACCTTCACCACACACCCACCTTCACCACACACCCACCTTCACCACACACCCACCTTCACCACACACCCACCTTCACCACACACCCACCTTCACCACACACCCACCTTCACCACACACCCACCTTCACCACACACCCACCTTCACCACACACCCACCTTCACCACACACCCACCTTCACCACACACCCACCTTCACCACACACCCACCTTCACCACACACCCACCTTCACCACACACCCACCTTCACCACACACCCACCTTCACCACACACCCACCTTCACCACACACCCACCTTCACCACACACCCACCTTCACCACACACCCACCTTCACCACACACCCACCTTCACCACACACCCACCTTCACCACACACCCACCTTCACCACACACCCACCTTCACCACACACCCACCTTCACCACACACCCACCTTCACCACACACCCACCTTCACCACACACCCACCTTCACCACACACCCACCTTCACCACACACCCACCTTCACCACACACCCACCTTCACCACACACCCACCTTCACCACACACCCACCTTCACCACACACCCACCTTCACCACACACCCACCTTCACCACACACCCACCTTCACCACACACCCACCTTCACCACACACCCACCTTCACCACACACCCACCTTCACCACACACCCACCTTCACCACACACCCACCTTCACCACACACCCACCTTCACCACACACCCACCTTCACCACACACCCACCTTCACCACACACCCACCTTCACCACACACCCACCTTCACCACACACCCACCTTCACCACACACCCACCTTCACCACACACCCACCTTCACCACACACCCACCTCTCCACACACCCACCTTCACCACACACCCACCTCTCCACACACCCACCTCTCCACACACCCACCTCTCCACACACCCACCTCTCCACACACCCACCTCTCCACACACCCACCTCTCCACACACCCACCTCTCCACACACCCACCTTCACCACACACCCACCTCTCCACACACCCACCTTCACCACACACCCACCTCTCCACACACCCACCTCTCCACACACCCACCTCTCCACACACCCACCTCTCCACACACCCACCTCCCACCACCCACACACCCCCACATGCCCAACCCACTCACAGACTGACCAAACCCAACACTCTCCCCGCCCCACCCACACGCCCACCTCAATGATGCGTCGGTGCTGGCAGGGCGGTGGCACTGCCAGCGCTGCCGCCACCACGGCTGCCAGATCCTCCCTTGACACGCTTCCTTTGCTGGTGACGCCCTGGAGGGGCGGTGAGGGCACACGAAGAAGAGGGGCAGTTGACGAATGCGTGATGCTTGCAAATCCTTCCGTCACATGCTTCTTCTCATGTTGTCACCTTGGGGACACCATGAGGGCACAAGGAGAGACGGCACAACAATGGGAGAGGGACGAGTGGGATGGAGGGGAGGGGAGGGAGTGCGTGCTCCCGCCACCACGGCTGCCAGATCCTCCCTTCACACGCCGCCCCTCGTAATGTGGCCCTGGGGGGATGATGAACGCACAAGGAGAGAGGCGGGACCTGATGAGGCACAAGGAGAGAGGCGGGACCTGATGAGCGCAAGGGAATTGGCAGGAGGAAGGAGGAACAGCAGGCAGTGCTGCCACCGCCATGACAAGTTCTTCTGAGCTATGCCTCCTTTCTACTGTGTCACTCTGGCTGTGCACTCTGGCTTGACGGATGGGGGAACAGGGGGAAGGCTTCGAGGAGTGCACAGCGCACAAGCGCTGCCTGCGTATGTTTCCCCTAGTGTTGCCTGGTGGGATGTACAGAGGAAGAGGGGAAGAGAGGAGGAGAGGAGAGAAAAAAAAGGAGAACGAAAGGTAGGGAGGCATGGAAGCAGGAGAGAAACTAGTTTCCTGCATTATCCTCGCCTGCCCATTCCTCACCTGTCCCACTCCTCACCTGCCCCATTCCTCACCTGCCCCATTCCTCACCTGCACCATTCCTCACCTGCACCATTCCTCACCTGCACCATTCCTCACCTGCACCATTCCTCACCTGCACCACTCCTCACCTGCACCATTCCTCACCTGCACCACTCCTCACCTGCACCACTCCTCACCTGCACCATTCCTCACCTGCACCACTCCTCACCTGCACCACTCCTCACCTGCACCACTCCTCACCTGCACCACTCCTCACCTGCACCACTCCTCACCTGCACCATTCCTCACCTGCACCATTCCTCACCTGCACCATTCCTCACCTGCACCACTCCTCACCTGCCCCACTCCTCACCTGCACCACTCCTCACCTGCACCACTCCTCACCTGCACCATTCCTCACCTGCACCATTCCTCACCTGCACCATTCCTCACCTGCACCACTCCTCACCTGCACCACTCCTCACCTGCACCACTCCTCACCTGCACCATTCCTCACCTGCACCATTCCTCACCTGCACCATTCCTCACCTGCACCATTCCTCACCTGCACCATTCCTCACCTGCACCACTCCTCACCTGCACCACTCCTCACCTGCACCACTCCTCACCTGCACCACTCCTCACCTGCACCATTCCTCACCTGCACCATTCCTCACCTGCACCATTCCTCACCTGCACCACTCCTCACCTGCACCACTCCTCACCTGCACCACTCCTCACCTGCACCACTCCTCACCTGCACCATTCCTCACCTGCACCATTCCTCACCTGCACCATTCCTCACCTGCACCACTCCTCACCTGCACCACTCCTCACCTGCACCACTCCTCACCTGCACCATTCCTCACCTGCACCATTCCTCACCTGCACCATTCCTCACCTGCACCATTCCTCACCTGCACCACTCCTCACCTGCCCCACTCCTCACCTGCACCACTCCTCACCTGCCCCAGCAGCACCCCCTTGTCCCGGCCAGGTTCATCCACCACCTTTCCCCCTCGCACCACCGTGCACCCAAACCCCCGCCTCCGCACCTCCCCTGCTGCTCCTGCTGCTCCCCTCTGTGCTGCCACAGCAGCAGCAGTGAGTGCTGCCTCGGCGTCTGCCGCTGCGGCTAGCGGCGAGGCGGACCAGAGCAGCCCTGCCAGACCCGAGGGGCGCGACGAGGCTCCCAGCTGACGTGAGGGGGAGGGTGGGAAGAGAGGAGGGATGGGGAGAGATGGGGAGGTGAAAGGCGTAGGGAGGGATGGGGAGAGATGGATGAGAGGGGCGGTGGGAGATAGATGGGTAGCAAAAAGGTTGCTGGGAGGATGGAACAGAGAGGGCAGGAAGGCAGGTGGAGAGAAATGACTGATGAGCCGATCAAGCCTGTGAAAGCAATCCCCGTGGGGGACTGGATGTTTTCTGTCTTGCATTAGAGGCGCCTCTTTCACACTTCAGCGGCACCTGCAGAGCTTCAAGCAGTGTGTGTGTTATCATTCAAAGTGATTAATTTATCAGTCGTCTAGGCACGGAACCTGGTCCGTCCGAACCCACTTGTACCTGTTCGATAGCATTGTTGCTGCACACATGGCTCACAACCCACCTGTGATACGAGCACCACCCACCTGTGATACGAGCACCACCCACCTGTGATACGAGCACCACCCACCTGTGATACGAGCACCACCCACCTGTGATACGAGCACCACCCACCTGTGATACGAGCACCACGTGCTCTACTTTGCTCCCCTGTAGCAGCTGCGCTAGCGAGCCCAGCTGGTTGGAGCAGCAGGGGATGGGAAGGCGAACGAAACGAAGAGGAAAAAGTGATGAACGTAGGAGGCAAGGCAGGAGCAGGGATATGGGAGCTGGATACACAGCCGAGGGGACAAAAGGGGCACGCCGGCACGGAACGTGAGTGGTGGTGATGAGAAGAAAATGCAGGGACGAGAACTTGGGTGGAAGCGGATGGGAGAGGTGGATTTGGGACGGCAGAGGAAGGTGGAAGAGTGAGCACGAGAGAAGGGGGGAACGGCTGAGGGGAAAGAAGAAGGAAACGGGAGTGGTGCGGCAAGCATGTGGTGCGGCAAGCATGTGGTGCGGCAAGCATGTGGTGCGGCAAGCATGTGGTGCGGCAAGCATGTGGTGCGGCAAGCATGTGGTGCGGCAAGCATGTGGTGCGGCAAGCCTGTGGTGCGGCAAGCATGTGGTGCGGCAGGCATGTGGTGCGGCAAGCATGTGGTGCTTGCAGCGTACCCGCCCCGTGATGACAACTGCCTGAGTGCCCCTGAGCGCAGCTCTCACTGCTGATTGGTCTCCCACCGAGCCTGCTATGGGCTGCCGTGGATGGTGGTGGGATGGATGGGATGGGGAGTGTGGTGTGGGGGAATGGGGTGGGGAGGCACAGGAGAAAGAGTGGCGGGTGTGAGGAAGATTCGTAGGGAGTGGTAGGGGCGTTTGAGAGCTCTGGGAAAGAAGGGAATGAGGAGCTTCTTTGAAAAATGAACGCTGAGGCATGTGCTTGCGATGGTGATGACAATGATATGCACTCACCATCAAACGCCAGCACCCACCAGCACCAATTAGCACCAATTAGCACCCATTGGCAGCGCTGACCTGCACGTAGGGTCCGAATCCAGCAGTGGCCTCCTTGGCGTCTCTCACGAGCACCCTCACCCTCCTGCGCGCCAATATCAGCTGCAGCACCACCATCTGCGATGGGGGAGGGTGAGGTGGGAAGGACGGGGAGGGGAGGGGAGCGGAGGGGAGGGGAGGGGAGGGGATTAGAGCAAAGGGAGGGAGAGAATGAGACGCAGTAGTGGCACACGCCCTTCACAGAACTCTCACTCTCCTGCGCGCCCAGATGGGCTGCAGAGTGGAGAGGGCTGCAGAGGAGTGGGGTAGGGAGAGTGGTAGGGTACGGAGGAGTGAGGGTGGAAGAGAAGGAAGCACAACACGGGCGGCAGAGGTCCGTCAGGAGCATTCAAGCAGCAAAGAGGATGATTGTGGCCGTGAGCGACGCTTTGAGTTCCCGAGGCGGCGCGGGGAGACGTGAAGGCGTTTGGAGTGGAGTGCAGGGAGACAGCATTCACGAGGCAGGTTGAGAAGCACTGGTCGGATCGGATGGGTGCGCGGAAGTAAGTATGTCGGTTTGGGGCACATGAAAGTGGGAATGGAAGAGATCACGTGGGTGCTGCTGGAATGGAATGGTACCTCCACGTCACCTGGTACCTCCACGTCATCTGGTACCTCCACGTCATCTGGTACCTCCACGTCATCTGGTACCTCCACGTCACCTGGTACCTCCACGTCACCTGGTACCTCCACGTCAACTGGTACCTCCACGTCACCTGGTACCTCCACGTCACCTGGTACCTCCATCCGCTGATTCATGCAATCATTTTCTTCCCCATCCCATGATCTAATCACCCGATGCTCTCCCGCCCATCTCAAGGGCACGCTGATGAGAGCATCAAACGAAACCTCCTGAATACATCCTCCAAAGTCCACCACTCACTTAGGATCATCTGAAGAGTTAAAGTCACCTGAGAATCACCTGAAAGAAAAACAGTCACCAGAAAATCACCTGAAAGAGAAACAGTCACCTAAGAATAACCTGAAAAAGAAACAGTCACCTGGGAATCACCTGACGAGAAACAGTCACCTGAGAATCACCTGGCCTGTGTCCGAGTCTGCATCTGTGACCAACACTGCATCCCCTCCCTCCTCTCCCTCTCCCCCCTCCTCCACATCCACCTCACCCCCCTCGCCCTCCTCGTCTGTGTGGAATGGAGGGTTCAACAAGTGGAGGGATGGGATGGGATGGGATGGGATGGGATGGGATGGGATGGGATGGAAACGGGGCGATGGTGAGTGGGTGGTGATAGCACCATGTCTTCATCGACTCAACAACATGAGACAAGACAAACTCCTTATGCGCCACACACACACAAGTTTGAGTGTGCCAGCCCAGCCACGCACAATTGTCCGTGCACCGCCCTGCAACTGCAACATGACGCAGCCACGCCCAGCGGAATTGTGAGTCGAATTAAAAGTCCTCCACTCCACGACGTGACTCGACGCGCCATGCGCCACTGCCTGCAGCATAGCTGAGTCGAGTCGAGGACAGCATGTTTCGCATCAATGCCACCCACCCACACACGCGTCCAGTCACTCCGCCCCACCCAGTTGGACCCCACCGCACCGCACAGCACGCCCTCCCACGCCTCACCAGCGCCGTCTCTTGGCAGAGTGTCCGCTGCGCCGTACCAGCGCCTTAGCTTCGGGCCGCCTGGGATCATGTGATCATGAGAGCCGAGACATGGTGGGTGGGAGGGAGGGACGGAGGGCGCGGGGCGGAGGGAGCGGGGCGGGCGGGCAGGGAGACGGCGGGTGAAGCAGCGCAGGGAATGGGTTCGGGGGAAGGGGCAGGGGAGACGGAGGCGGATACAGCGCGGGGAAGTGGTGAGGGGTTGGGAAGGGGCGATGGTGGGGGGGTGCCGGGGTGGGGTGTATCACACTTCGAGAATTTTTTTCAATTGGAGTTATCACTGAGGGGCGAAGCGGAAAGCGAGAGGCACTGCGTTGCATCATGCATGCCTGCGGAACACATGACGTCCACACGATGCCTGACGTCAGCTGAAGGCCGTGACCTTGCAGGTTTGCAGGCCGTCGCTGGGCATGCTGACGTGAGCTCGAGTCATTCTCCTTCCCCCCTCCCCTGGCCCTTAACGTTTTCTTCATGTTCGTTAAGAGCACCTTCGATATAGTCAAGGATCTGATCGCCGAAGGACGGGCCTTGCTTCCCCTTCCGCTGTCCGCTGCCGTCCTCCCCTCCGCGCGCGCGCACGCTCACGCCCGCAACACTTCCGCGCCGACTGACCCGACTGCGCCGACTGAGCTCAATCTGCGGAGCGCCTGCGCGAAAAGCAGCATTGCTGCGCAAACAGACGTTCCTATAACGGAGCGAAGTTGCCTCGCAGATGGGAGCGCCAGTAGCAAGCGGTCTCGCTACAGCGGGCAGCGCGGGAGCGGCAGCGGCAGTGGGAACCATGATGGGCGGAATGCCCGTCGAAGCCCCCCGCGCGCGGCAATTCCTCGTCTCGCGGAGGCCTTCGGCGGAAGAACCTTGTGCGGACGGGCCAATCTGCTGTCGTTGCTGTGAGCTTGCTTGCCGCGGCTATCGCAATCTGCGCGGCATAATGCCACGCCATTGAAGGCAAATGCTCCTATTGTACGCGATATGCCAGCTTGTCCGCACTTTTCCAAATAACAGCAACTTGTTTTAGTTGCTTTTGAACTTGCATACAGAAAGTGAAATATTGAAATGAGTTAACCAAGACATTTGGTATGACACGACCAGCACCTGTAGCGAAACGAGCTTTTAACCTACATGACTGCAACTTTTTTCAAAGCCAGCCTACACCCCAAACGCTCCTGAAGAAAATGCCCCTGATATTCCATTTATTTACAGCCCCCTTTATATTATTGGCACAAACGTAAGCCCCTGCTTTGCATTCTGCTAACTACACGGAAGGTGCAGCCAACACTTGGTAACCAGCAGGAGAATAACCAGGAGATGAAGCAGGAGCAGGCAAAGTTGCAGCAGGAAGAGGGGAGCGTTGGGGTTGGGCACGAGATGTTTCCTTGCCGAGTGAGGAGGAGATGTGGAAGTTCCAGAAGATGGCACAGCATGACATGAAGGCCACCCGTGCCTCTAATGGCACCACTCTGTAAAGGGTATGAACAACGAGGGGGACGAAACGGAGCAATGAGGCAAATCGAAGCATAGACAGTATGCAGTGTAGAGGAATCAGGGTGAAGGTACGAAGGTGCAGGTGGGTGGCGAACGGTGGATGGATGGCCACAGGACAGGACAGACAAGAGGCACACAGGGACTAGGTGGGGGATTAAGGTGGCAAGGGAAACCAGCATGTGATAAAAAAAGGAGGATAGGAGAGGGAGCCAGGGAGGGAGGGAGGCTTACGCAAAGTTGAAGCAGGTGGCCGGTATCCAGAACTTGTAGCCTGATGGTGAGGCGATGCACGCACATCCATAGCCAGGGGCACATGGACAGACATGGTGAGCCACAGGTTGCATTTCAGGAAGAACTACAGGCATGTCCTGAACATGTTACAACATTACCAGCTAAGGAATGGAATGGAGGGCTGAGGAAGACCGCACAGGAGAAGCAAGGGGTTGATAGGGGTGCTTACTAAGGGATGGCAATAGCAAGTAGATTCAGACAAAAACGACCCACGGATGAGATGGGAATCAGAAAGAGAGGCGTGAATCAAGTGTCGTACCCTTGATGAGCGAGGGGAAGAAGTCCCGACGGTACTTGTCGGGGATGTCTCTGGCTCGACCCATCCATGCCATGTTCCACGCGAACACCACCAGCAGCACACTCGGCCCCACCACCACCTGATTCGCCAGCACCTGCATGGGGGGGGAAGAAGGGAGGATGAGGAGGAAGAGCATGAGGAGGGAGACGGAGACGAGGGATGACATCCACTGGAGGCGACTATTGTGGCTCTTGCTGTGACTCCACTCCACTCCCTGCCACTGCTACTGGTACCCACCGTCGCATTGGGAACCACATAGCAACATCGGGGCACAGGCAGCTTTCAAAGTGAGCGCGCCTACGAGTCGGTGCATAGAGAGCAACGCAGCACCCACCCTGACAGGGCCTCCATGTGCGCAGACGGCATTCAGAAGCAGGCAGCCCAGCTTCCCGTACCCCCGGTACCCCCTGTAACCCCGGTACGGTACAGCGCAGGGAGTAGAGCGAAGAGAGAGGGGCGGCGAGAGAGAGCGGAGGGGCATACCTTGAGGCCCAAGTTGGAGGCGGTGGGCGCGGCAAGCAGGCGGTCAAGCCAGCGGTACCAGGCGTGGCAGCCGGGGCCGTACAGCAGGAAGCCGTACGACGCCATGCACACTGCGCGCACCCAGTCGTGCTGCCCCACCCCCTCGCCCTCCCCTTCTCCTGCCGCCGCCGCGTGCCGCTCGTGCAGTGCCGGTAGAGCGTCAGCGTGCGTGTGCGAGCGGTGGTGCTGTTGCTGTTGCTGTTGCTGCTGCTGCTGCTGCTGCTGCTGCTGGCGGCGGGTGCGGCGCTCCACGAGCTGCGCCAGCGTGTCGCCCGCCAGCGCCAGCCCACTCGCCGTTGTGGCTGCCTTCAGGGGGAAGCGCTGCGGTGCCATGGGGAAGGCGGCACGGGGAAGGGGGGAAGACGAGGGGACGAGGGGGGAAGGCCGAAAAGAACAGGAGGGGAAAGGGGAAACGGGGGAGGGGGGAAAGGAAAGGAAAAACTGATTCTAGGGGGATTCTTGAATGGTGGCACGAAAAAGGGGAGGAGGAAGGGAAATGTGGACAGTGGAGTGTAACAGGGCGAATGGAGGGATGGTACTGTGACAACACGAGCACGGGGTGAACAAAGAAAAGAGGGATAGAGGGAATGGGCATAGGGAGAGAGAAGATAATGTGGTTCTAAAGATGTCATTTGTGAGTGACAGAAGGAGGTTGAAGCAGATGAGTGTACCACAGGTGCTGCTCTGCTCTGTGTTGTGTTGTGCTGTGCTACGGTCCAAGTTCAAGAGGTTCAAGTGGTGCTATGCACGGACGCAATGCGCAATCTCGCCTCGCCACCCACCACCGGCTCTACCACCATGCTTGCTTGCCTTGCCACCCACGCACCTACCCAACCACCCACCCACCTCGCTACCCACCCACCCAGCCACCAACCTACCCACCTCCAGCAACGACCCAGATTGAACCTTCTTCCATGATGGCTCATCCAACGACTGAGATGCGCTCAATGTGCTGCAGGGCAATCGGACAGGAGGGGATCAGTAAGGTGGCGTATGAGGCAAGGGGCGGACGGCAGGAGACAACGGACGGCAGAGGGGAATGGACGGCGATGGGCAAGGGTCCGCAGGAGGCAACGGACGGAAGGGGGCAAGAGACCGAAGGGGGCAAGAGGCGCAAGGGTAACAGCCTCACCTGGCTCGGGGGCGGTGTCTGCCGTGCTGCCACGTGGCAGTGAGCGAGGAGAGCAGCGAGAGCGACAGGCCGTGCGAGAGCGAGCAGGAGAGCGCTGCTGGCGGGCGAACGCGGAGAGTGTCCGAGGAAGCGTTGACCGCGTTGACTGCGTTGACGCCGTTCACGCCGTTCAAAGGGTTGAATGGCAAGCCGCTGGATGCAGCCATTCTGGCGAAACGAAATCTAGGGTTACCAACGGTCGTCCGTGCGGTCGACCGCACTGTTCGTGGCAAGAATCACCGCAGCGGCCCGCCGCGCGAATAACTTCCACCCGATTGTCTTAGCGCTCGCCGGATACCCGCTCTCTAGATTCCTACTCGTGGAAGGCTTGGCGGGCACGAATTCAGCAGGGAAATAAAATTGTAAGGAGTCCGGCCTTGGAATCACAGTAACGCGAGAAATGGTGCGAAAAAGAGCATAAGGGAGGGGATCTGGGCCCCACCGCTTTTCGCTGCGGGCTGCAGGCGACGGCATCGCAGCCCACCACCGACGCAGAGGCTGGCTGGGAGTCACAAATGTCACCACATCGCACCACACACGCTAAAGGCGATTCCCGTCCTTGCAATGGCGGGGACGTTTCCTTGGCAGCAGGCAAGCTCGCAACGCAACATGTACGGTATGTGTGGAACTGAAGGAAGCAATGCTGCCGCAGCTAGGTATGCGTTACCCCTCGTATGGCGCAAGTGACTGCCATCCGTTACGGCTGACACTTTACGTTTTCGCAAGGACGACTGTTGCTGCCTTGGGCGACGCAAGCACCATTCCCGCGTGGGGCGAGCAGCATGCGTGCCGGAGCTGACCATGTGTTTGAGAAACCCGATTAGCGTTACAGTACTACTATATCAAATGTATCTACTAGCCACAGCAACAGCAACCCCTATGTGGCCACATTGCAAAAATGTATCTACTAGCTTGGCAGTGGCAAATAGTGGAAAATAATACAAACAAACAACAATGCCGACCAAAATAAAAAGTGCTTTCTTAGAAATGTTTTTTTTTTTCATTGCTGTCCTCAAATCAATCACTGTCTAATATAAATGGGTACAAGAATAATTACCATGTGAGCAGTGGGTGGCACACCATAAAAACAGATGACCCTCCCTCCACCTCCTATTCTCTTTGCCGTCTCATCCCCACCTTGAACAATCCATGCCATGCCTCATGCTCCACCTAATGTGCCTTCTCACTGCCGTATTCCTATCAGAAGTAGATGCCATGCCTGCGACGAGAGATTAATAATCGTATGATGAGATGAGACATTGGCTGACATGCATTGGCTGACTCAATAGGTACTGAGTATTAGGTATGAAACAGCTTCAGGTTGGTAGAAAAAAACCGAAATCGAGATATTAGCAGGGCAAAGAATGGCAAGCAATGGGCAGCTGAATGGTAAACAGGAGATGACAAAATTGGAAAATAACAACATAATCCACATTAGATAAACAGGGACAGCCAAGCAGGAAAATGGCTATTGAAAGCTAGCAAGATTGGCTGGAAATCACATTGGCAGGTTGACTGAACAAAGCATGAATGGGAAATGAACAGGGAAAATGGGAAAACAGAACTAAAAGGAATGATTCATTGGCAAAAACAATGGATGCACAAAGGTTGTACAGCTCAGGATGAGAACTTGTATAAGAAGTGAAATGGCAGGCTAATGGAATGGACTGAAGGACATTTGGCAACTGATAGTGAAAACAACAAATAAGATGTTTCTGTGACAAAAGGTACTGGGATACGGAGCAGAGAATGGAAGTGTGTATTGAAAAATGAAGGGAGAGGAAGATGCAAGTATGGAATTCACCTTGCACTGATGCCTCAGCATGTGTCCTCCCTGGGACCACAGCAGCAATCAGATTGTTTGACCTCATTCCAGTTCACACGCACACCAACCCTCATCCCATCTCACACTCCCATCACCTCATCCTATCTCACACTCAAATCACCTAATCTTATCTCACACTCATATCACCTCATCCCATCTCGCACTAGCATCACCTCATCCCATCTCACACTCCCATCACCTCATCCCATCTCGTACTCACATCACATCATCCTATCTCACACTCACATCACCTCATCCCATCTCACACTCACACCACCTCATCCCATCTCACACTCACATCACCTCATTCCATCTCATAATCACATCACTACATTTCATCTCACACTCACTCAAACCACCTAATTTCAACTCACACTGGCATCACCTTAATATATCTATTGATTATTATTATCCCAAACTCACATCACATCATTCCATTCACATCACCTCAGCCCATCCGACACCCACAGCACCAAATTTCATCTCACATTCACATCACCTCATTCCATCTCATACTCACCTCCTCACCTCATCCCCACCCAAGGCCAGGTCATCCCAGAATTCATGAGCACAACCTCAAGCTGGCTGGGTAAGAGCACAGTCAATGGCAAGCTGACTGGAAAACAAGTAAGGGAGAAATGAAGAATTGATGTGAAAATGGCAGTGGGAAGATAGCAGCTGAACGATAAAGAGAAGTGGATTGGAAAAATGACCAAATGGGAAGCTGAAAACAGGAATGGCAACGGGAAGATGCTTCTGACAAGACACTTCTGTCAGCTTCACACAATGTTCCCCCCACTCCATCCCCTCCACCTTCCTGATTGTGGGATGTTGATAGTGGTAACATGGCATTGGAATGTGGCAGTAGGAATATGGCAGTAGCATAAGTCAAATCAAAGGCATGATATGTTATTCCCCTTGGCGATATTAACCCATTCTTCATTCAATTTATTTTCTGTTTTCCACCCAATCATTTGCAAATCTGACCATTGGTCTTGTTTTGGTTGATGCTTCACAGATTTGATTACACTCATTTCATTATCAACAACATAGATGATTCTTGTCATTCTGGTCAGCCTGAATATTGCTGCCTGTTTTAATCTGAAATCGAGTTCTTGTTTATTTTTTCCGTTCCATGTTCTGGCCATTGCAAGTTCCCACTGACCACAGCGTTCCGCTAAATACACCATGATTTTCAAGTTGATGTTTGTGTGTATTTTGATGGGACACAGTATGAGTCCCATCAGCGACTGCAACATGGTAACCAACGCAAAACTCTCTATTTTCACTCTCACACCCTGACAGGCGGGATGAAAAAAAGGGGGTTTACCCCTACCGCCATCATTCCACATCACCCCCACCAGCTTTACCTTACTTGCCATTGTGCCACTTATTCAAGGCTATGCTTGACCAAGCTCTACTCACCCACCTCCTCATCCGCCTCGTCCCTCTGGCCTTCCCACTTGATGCCTTGTTTGCACTTGTCCCTTCCACTCTTACCTTTGCTGCATCATCCTTATCAGAACCTGGCTTTTGCCTTGACTTTATGTCAGAGTTCTTAGCAGCTGCTGCAGCTGTAGCAGCGTCAACAGGAACAACAGCAGCAGAAGCCTTTTTCAGGTTGGAGAACCCAACGTTTCTTTTTGAGGTCTGGCATTCGTTGGAGCTTTTTTTCACGTCATCTTTTGTGCTGACTTTTACAGCAGGAGTTTGCACAGATACGCAGCTCGTGCTGTTTGCACTGCTGGAGCTGAAGGTGCAGACCATCACGCTCCTGTTGCTCTTGTTAGCATCATTCTTACTGGCAGCAGTTTTTTCAACCATAATCCAAGGCGATTTCTTGCCTGTGGAAGCGAGAAACTCGTCCTTAGACAGGAATGACACGTTTTTGTCATTGCTGCAGACGCTTTCAGGGTTAAGATAGCGTTGGCGGAATTCCAGCAGATTCAGCTCGCTCATATACGAGAATTCGTCTTCAGAATCCTCGGAAATCCGTGCTCTTTTCGCACTTGGAGCAGCAGTAGCAGCAGCAGGCGTGGATCGCTTGCGTGCTGCATCGCTCCAGCTGGGAGAGGCGGAAGCGGAGGCAGCAGGAAGGTAGTGGTTTTTCAGTCCTGCTGGAACGCATCCGTGGTCCTCTTCCCAGTAGAAGAGGTCGTCGGGGTCAGCCTTGCTGCATGCAGCGAGGGTTTTCACGGCCATCAGTAGTCAGATGCAAAGATAAGTTTCGAGGCTTGAGGAAGGGGGTAGCAACGAGCTGTGTGAGTAAAGAACGATGTGATTCAACTGAAAGGAAATGGCTGTCAGACGGGGTTTTGCACTCGTGGCTACGAAAGCACTCTGTCCTGACAGGATGCTGTTGAGCGGTTCGTTTACAAACGAGCCGCTCTAGTTGACGGCGGAAAAGGGGGTTCCGTTGGCAGCGGGAGTTTTAGGTACGGTGCCGAGGCTAGCGTCTAGATTTGGTGCCTGATCGTTTGCCCCGGAAAATGTCGACCTGACAGAATCAATGGCATCCGAAGCAACAAATGTTCCCGAGATACCCGCGACGCTCCAGAATAGATGACGTGGGTATCAATCTCGTGAGAAACTCGCCACGGTGGTACATTCGGGCCCACAGGTTTTGAAACAGTGGCTCGAAATGCTGCCGCGGAGAGCTTTTAGGCCTTCGAAGCGTGTGGGTAAGCCGGTCGCACCTGAGCTTTGCTGCGCCACGTCATCGTTGATTGAATCTGACTCGTTAGTTCTCTAGCGGCGAGGGATGACATGGCGTGTGGGCCCCATGGGCTGATCGAAGTACTGACTGACCCGACCTGTGCTAATCGAACCCGATGTGCGACTACGATTGGGCTGCGGCTAAGCGGACAGCAGGAACGTTGAGATCGGCTAGGGGGTTCAGCGCTAGGGACTTGGGAATGGCTTGCAAGCTGATTATAGGGTGGCTCGAGACGCGCCAAGGTCGAGAGGGTGTGCTGGCGGGTGGTAGGGGTGTAGGGGTGGGAAGCGATTGGAGTTGGAACGCGTTACAAAAGGTTATGGAATAGTCTCGAACTTTTAACAAATCGTAAGTTAACCTCCATCCAGTCCATACATACAATTGCACAATCTCCAATGCTACCATAATGAACTATTGCAGCTGCTCGAATTCTTGGCTGGTTATTTATGATTCTACACATACTAGGTTAGCATGCCCAAGAGACTTACGGTAAGCCTTACATATACAAGTAGCTCAAATAACGAGTGGTGCAGTCATTCAGGCAGCCATGTACGGTATTAGGCACCTAATACTAAACAGGATCAGCTCTGCCCCACCAACGTTGCACAACTTGTGTTATCATCATCATAAGCATACCACTGCCCCCTGCACACATCTCACAACTCAAAGAAAAAGGGTGTCAGGTCGACAGACTAGGGTGTCCAGTGCAGGACGGTTGTTGCTTTTGAGGTGAGACAATCTTGTTGAGGCCCAGGAGGATCCTGCCTGCAAAATGATCAAGGTGAGTGTGGAATGAAGTTTGGCATTAAGTCAGTGAGACAACCATGTGTGAAGCTTATCTGACGTTCATCAGCAGTCAGCAGGAACGAGAGGAATAGGTGAGGTCTAATGATAGTACAGCAACATTGCAATCTTCACACATGAGCTTCCTTCCACCCATCCTGCTGGACCCCTTCTCCTCTCACCCCTCTCTCACCCCTCTCTCACCCCTCTCTCACCCCTCTCTCACCCCTCTCTCACCCCTTCCCCCTCTCTCACCCCATCCCCCTCCCTCACCCCTTCAACTACAAAAACAAATTCGTGGAATATTTATGCAGTGAAGACAGCAGGCACACAACGTGGTGCTCTGCCATGGAAAACCTCACGAACGCAGTGAATGGCCCACGCTGGCATGCTGTGGCACTCGGTAACATGGTGTGGTGGCCCAGTGTTCCCTCCAGCACCATCAGAGGGACATGACATGGCATGCCTGCGACTGAGATTGGCATGTGAACATGGCGATAGATGAGAAGACGACCAAGAAACATCTTCAAATAGTGTAGGCAGGGTAGTAGGCAGGTAAAACGACAAAGTGAAGTTGATTGAACAACGGACAAGATGAGAAGATTAAGCAATCAACACAGGAGGGTGACAGGAAAATGAAAGTGCAAACTGTACTGAGAAAGTGGAGAATGGAAGTTAACAGAGAGAATGGCACTAAGGAGGCTGGATAAGTGGGAATGGGAACGTGGGTTGGGAAAGTAGGCTGGGAAAGTGGAGATGGGAATTTGAATAAAATGGAAACTATCACCATCCCATACACCCATCCTGCACCACACAAAGAATGTGTCCTTCTATTCCCACCCTTGTCAAACCCCTTTCTCTTTGCCGCTACAACCCCCACAGTCTGTCACATTCCTCGTGCTCCACCCACCATACCCTCACTGCCTCAAACCATGCTCCACCCACCATGCCCTCACTGCCTCAAACCATGCTCCACCCACCATACCCTCACTGCCTCAAACCATGCTCCACCCACCATACCCTCACTGCCTCAAACCATGCTCCACCCACCATACCCTCACTGCCTCAAACCATGCTCCACCCACCATACCCTCACTGCCTCAAACCATGCTCCACCCACCATACCCTCACTGCCTCAAACCATGCTCCACCCACCATACCCTCACTGCCTCAAACCATGCTCCACCCACCATACCCTCACTGCCTCAAACCATGCTCCACCCACCATACCCTCACTGCCTCAAACCATGCTCCACCCACCATACCCTCACTGCCTCAAACCATGCTCCACCCACCATACCCTCACTTCCTCAAACCATGCTCCACCCACCATACCCTCACTGCCTCAAAGCATGCTCCACCCACCATACCCTCACTGCCTCAAAGCATGCTCCACCCACCATACCCTCACTGCCTCAAACCATGCTCCAAACACCATACCCTCACTGCCTCAAACCATGCTCCACCCACCATACCCTCACTGCCTCAAACCATGCTCCACCCACCATGCCCTCACTGCCTCAAACCATGCTCCACCCACCATACCCTCACTGCCTCAAACCATGCTCCACCCACCATGCCCTCACTGCCTCAAAGCATGCTCCACCCACCATACCCTCACTGCCTCAAACCATGCTCCACCCACCATGCCCTCACTGCCTCAAACCATGCTCCACCCACCATACCCTCACTGCCTCAAAGCATGCTCCACCCACCATACCCTCACTGCCTCAAACCATGCTCCACCCACCATGCCCTCACTGCCTCAAACCATGCTCCACCCACCATACCCTCACTGCCTCAAACCATGCTCCACCCACCATACCCTCACTGCCTCAAACCATGCTCCACCCACCATACCCTCACTGCCTCAAACCTTGCTCCACCCACCATACCCTCACTGCCTCAAACCATGCTCCACCCACCATACCCTCACTGCCTCAAACCATGCTCCACCCACCATACCCTCACTGCCTCAAACCATGCTCCACCCACCATACCCTCACTGCCTCAAACCATGCTCCACCCACCATACCCTCACTGCCTCAAACCATGCTCCACCCACCATACCCTCACTGCCTCAAACCATGCTCCACCCACCATCCCCTCACTGCCTCAAACCATGCTCCACCCACCATACCCTCACTGCCTCAAACCATGCTCCACCCACCATACCCTCACTGCCTCAAACCATGCTCCACCCACCATACCCTCACTGCCTCAAACCATGCTCCACCCACCATACCCTCACTGCCTCAAACCATGCTCCACCCACCATACCCTCACTGCCTCAAACCATGCTCCACCCACCATACCCTCACTGCCTCAAACCATGCTCCACCCACCATACCCTCACTGCCTCAAACCATGCTCCACCCACCATACCCTCACTGCCTCAAACCATGCTCCACCCACCATCCCCTCACTGCCTCAAACCATGCTCCACCCACCATGCCCTCACTGCCTCAAACCATGCTCCACCCACCATACCCTCACTGCCTCAAACCATGCTCCACCCACCATACCCTCACTGCCTCAAACCATGCTCCACCCACCATACCCTCACTGCCTCAAACCTTGCTCCACCCACCATACCCTCACTGCCTCAAACCATGCTCCACCCACCATACCCTCACTGCCTCAAACCATGCTCCACCCACCATACCCTCACTGCCTCAAACCATGCTCCACCCACCATACCCTCACTGCCTCAAACCATGCTCCACCCACCATACCCTCACTGCCTCAAACCATGCTCCACCCACCATACCCTCACTGCCTCAAACCATGCTCCACCCACCATACCCTCACTGCCTCAAAGCATGCTCCACCCACCATACCCTCACTGCCTCAAACCATGCTCCACCCACCATACCCTCACTTCCTCAAACCATGCTCCACCCACCATACCCTCACTGCCTCAAAGCATGCTCCACCCACCATACCCTCACTGCCTCAAAGCATGCTCCACCCACCATACCCTCACTGCCTCAAACCATGCTCCAAACACCATACCCTCACTGCCTCAAACCATGCTCCACCCACCATACCCTCACTGCCTCAAACCATGCTCCACCCACCATGCCCTCACTGCCTCAAACCATGCTCCACCCACCATACCCTCACTGCCTCAAACCATGCTCCACCCACCATGCCCTCACTGCCTCAAAGCATGCTCCACCCACCATACCCTCACTGCCTCAAACCATGCTCCACCCACCATGCCCTCACTGCCTCAAACCATGCTCCACCCACCATACCCTCACTGCCTCAAAGCATGCTCCACCCACCATACCCTCACTGCCTCAAACCATGCTCCACCCACCATGCCCTCACTGCCTCAAACCATGCTCCACCCACCATACCCTCACTGCCTCAAACCATGCTCCACCCACCATACCCTCACTGCCTCAAACCATGCTCCACCCACCATACCCTCACTGCCTCAAACCTTGCTCCACCCACCATACCCTCACTGCCTCAAACCATGCTCCACCCACCATACCCTCACTGCCTCAAACCATGCTCCACCCACCATACCCTCACTGCCTCAAACCATGCTCCACCCACCATACCCTCACTGCCTCAAACCATGCTCCACCCACCATCCCCTCACTGCCTCAAACCATGCTCCACCCACCATACCCTCACTGCCTCAAACCATGCTCCACCCACCATACCCTCACTGCCTCAAACCATGCTCCACCCACCATACCCTCACTGCCTCAAACCATGCTCCACCCACCATACCCTCACTGCCTCAAACCATGCTCCACCCACCATACCCTCACTGCCTCAAAGCATGCTCCACCCACCATACCCTCACTGCCTCAAACCATGCTCCACCCACCATACCCTCACTTCCTCAAACCATGCTCCACCCACCATACCCTCACTGCCTCAAAGCATGCTCCACCCACCATACCCTCACTGCCTCAAAGCATGCTCCACCCACCATACCCTCACTGCCTCAAACCATGCTCCAAACACCATACCCTCACTGCCTCAAACCATGCTCCACCCACCATACCCTCACTGCCTCAAACCATGCTCCACCCACCATGCCCTCACTGCCTCAAACCATGCTCCACCCACCATACCCTCACTGCCTCAAACCATGCTCCACCCACCATGCCCTCACTGCCTCAAAGCATGCTCCACCCACCATACCCTCACTGCCTCAAACCATGCTCCACCCACCATGCCCTCACTGCCTCAAACCATGCTCCACCCACCATACCCTCACTGCCTCAAAGCATGCTCCACCCACCATACCCTCACTGCCTCAAACCATGCTCCACCCACCATGCCCTCACTGCCTCAAACCATGCTCCACCCACCATACCCTCACTGCCTCAAACCATGCTCCACCCACCATACCCTCACTGCCTCAAACCATGCTCCACCCACCATACCCTCACTGCCTCAAACCTTGCTCCACCCACCATACCCTCACTGCCTCAAACCATGCTCCACCCACCATACCCTCACTGCCTCAAACCATGCTCCACCCACCATACCCTCACTGCCTCAAACCATGCTCCACCCACCATACCCTCACTGCCTCAAACCATGCTCCACCCACCATCCCCTCACTGCCTCAAACCATGCTCCACCCACCATACCCTCACTGCCTCAAACCATGCTCCACCCACCATACCCTCACTGCCTCAAACCATGCTCCACCCACCATACCCTCACTGCCTCAAACCATGCTCCACCCACCATACCCTCACTGCCTCAAACCATGCTCCACCCACCATACCCTCACTGCCTCAAACCATGCTCCACCCACCATACCCTCACTGCCTCAAACCATGCTCCACCCACCATACCCTCACTGCCTCAAACCATGCTCCACCCACCATACCCTCACTGCCTCAAACCATGCTCCACCCACCATACCCTCACTGCCTCAAAGCATGCTCCACCCACCATACCCTCACTGCCTCAAACCATGCTCCACCCACCATACCCTCACTTCCTCAAACCATGCTCCACCCACCATACCCTCACTGCCTCAAAGCATGCTCCACCCACCATACCCTCACTGCCTCAAAGCATGCTCCACCCACCATACCCTCACTGCCTCAAACCATGCTCCAAACACCATACCCTCACTGCCTCAAACCATGCTCCACCCACCATACCCTCACTGCCTCAAACCATGCTCCACCCACCATGCCCTCACTGCCTCAAACCATGCTCCACCCACCATACCCTCACTGCCTCAAACCATGCTCCACCCACCATGCCCTCACTGCCTCAAAGCATGCTCCACCCACCATACCCTCACTGCCTCAAACCATGCTCCACCCACCATGCCCTCACTGCCTCAAACCATGCTCCACCCACCATACCCTCACTGCCTCAAAGCATGCTCCACCCACCATACCCTCACTGCCTCAAACCATGCTCCACCCACCATGCCCTCACTGCCTCAAACCATGCTCCACCCACCATACCCTCACTGCCTCAAACCATGCTCCACCCACCATACCCTCACTGCCTCAAACCATGCTCCACCCACCATACCCTCACTGCCTCAAACCTTGCTCCACCCACCATACCCTCACTGCCTCAAACCATGCTCCACCCACCATACCCTCACTGCCTCAAACCATGCTCCACCCACCATACCCTCACTGCCTCAAACCATGCTCCACCCACCATACCCTCACTGCCTCAAACCATGCTCCACCCACCATACCCTCACTGCCTCAAACCATGCTCCACCCACCATACCCTCACTGCCTCAAACCATGCTCCACCCACCATCCCCTCACTGCCTCAAACCATGCTCCACCCACCATACCCTCACTGCCTCAAACCATGCTCCACCCACCATACCCTCACTGCCTCAAACCATGCTCCACCCACCATACCCTCACTGCCTCAAACCATGCTCCACCCACCATACCCTCACTGCCTCAAACCATGCTCCACCCACCATACCCTCACTGCCTCAAACCATGCTCCACCCACCATACCCTCACTGCCTCAAACCATGCTCCACCCACCATACCCTCACTGCCTCAAACCATGCTCCACCCACCATACCCTCACTGCCTCAAACCATGCTCCACCCACCATACCCTCACTGCCTCAAACCATGCTCCACCCACCATACCCTCACTGCCTCAAACCATGCTCCACCCACCATACCCTCACTGCCTCAAACCATGCTCCACCCACCATGCCCTCACTGCCTCAAACCATGCTCCACCCACCATACCCTCACTGCCTCAAACCATGCTCCACCCACCATACCCTCACTGCCTCAAACCTTGCTCCACCCACCATACCCTCACTGCCTCAAACCATGCTCCACCCACCATACCCTCACTGCCTCAAACCATGCTCCACCCACCATACCCTCACTGCCTCAAACCATGCTCCACCCACCATACCCTCACTGCCTCAAACCATGCTCCACCCACCATACCCTCACTGCCTCAAAGCATGCTCCACCCACCATACCCTCACTGCCTTAAAGCATGCTCCACCCACCATACCCTCACTGCCTCAAACCATGCTCCACCCACCATACCCTCACTGCCTCAAACCATGCTCCACCCACCATACCCTCACTGCCTCAAACCATGCTCCACCCACCATACCCTCACTGCCTCAAACCATGCTCCACCCACCATACCCTCACTGCCTCAAACCATGCTCCACCCACCATACCCTCACTGCCTCAAACCATGCTCCACCCACCATCCCCTCACTGCCTCAAACCATGCTCCACCCACCATACCCTCACTGCCTCAAACCATGCTCCACCCACCATACCCTCACTGCCTCAAACCATGCTCCACCCACCATACCCTCACTGCCTCAAACCATGCTCCACCCACCATACCCTCACTGCCTCAAACCATGCTCCACCCACCATACCCTCACTGCCTCAAACCATGCTCCACCCACCATCCCCTCACTGCCTCAAACCATGCTCCACCCACCATACCCTCACTGCCTCAAACCATGCTCCACCCACCATACCCTCACTGCCTCAAACCATGCTCCACCCACCATACCCTCACTGCCTCAAACCATGCTCCACCCACCATACCCTCACTGCCTCAAACCATGCTCCACCCACCATACCCTCACTGCCTCAAACCATGCTCCACCCACCATACCCTCACTGCCTCAAACCATGCTCCACCCACCATCCCCTCACTGCCTCAAACCATGCTCCACCCACCATACCCTCACTGCCTCAAACCATGCTCCACCCACCATACCCTCACTGCCTCAAACCATGCTCCACCCACCATACCCTCACTGCCTCAAACCATGCTCCACCCACCATACCCTCACTGCCTCAAACCATGCTCCACCCACCATACCCTCACTGCCTCAAACCATGCTCCACCCACCATCCCTCACTGCCTCAAACCATGCTCCACCCACCATACCCTCACTGCCTCAAACCATGCTCCACCCACCATACCCTCACTGCCTCAAACCATGCTCCACCCACCATACCCTCACTGCCTCAAACCATGCTCCACCCACCATCCCCTCACTGCCTCAAACCATGCTCCACCCACCATACCCTCACTGCCTCAAACCATGCTCCACCCACCATACCCTCACTGCCTCAAACCATGCTCCACCCACCATACCCTCACTGCCTCACACCGTGCTCCACCCCCCCAAACTCGCTCCTCAACTGCTCGCCCCTCCTCCCAATCAGCTTGCGTGCGTGCTCCCATCATGCTGCTATGTTTCCGCAGCCACATTCGCATTCAACCGAGTCAACCTCTGCCAACACCATTCCCATGCCATCCTCATGCCCTGCTGCCTGCCTCCCCCCCCCTCCTCCGCTGCTGCCGCCACTGCCACAAACGGACAATGTGGGAAGTCTCAGCAATCAAGACTGGAGGGAGACAGGAAATTGGAAATGCAATCCGGAATGAGAGTGGAAATAGGACATTCACAAGAAGGATGCTACTGGAAAGTGGCTGGGAAAGTAGACACAGAAGTTGAGTGGACTAGCAAACCACACAAGCCCATGCATCCATCCTGCACCACATACCAGCTGCCTGTTTCTCAATTCATCACAGCCTCTTGTTCAAATATGTCTTCTTTCATGCCTCTACCCACCCACCCCTTTTCCAAATCACCCTTGCAAGGTCCATGGCATGCCTCATGCTCAGCCCTCCCCCTCGATCCCCCCATACTCGGCCCTCCCCTGCTCGCCCCACCTACCCATTGGCTTGCCATCATGCTCCACCACCACACTCGGTCAACCGAGTCAACGCCACTCCCATGCCATCCGCATATTCCCCCGCCCTGCCCTCTCCTCGCCTCCTCCACCGCTGCCACCACTGCAGCCGCTGCCCTTTCAACTCAACCGTGGTGAGTGCCCGTCCCCTCCCCTCCCCTCCCCAACACATCCCCCTCCGCTTGAGTGAACGCCACATCCCCTTTCAACTCAACCGTGGTGAGTGCGGCAGTGCTGGCGTTCATGTGCGAGGCGGGAATCCTGTCCTCCCCTCCCCTCGCCTCCCCACCACATCCCCCTCCCTGTGCGAGGCGGGGGACCTGTCCGGCCGGAGAAGACAACATGTGCCAGCCAGCCAACTGTCATGCCATCTCCTGCCAGCCAACTGTCATGCCATCTCCTGCCAGCCAACTGTCATGCCATCTCCTGCCAGCCAACTGTCATGCCATCTCCTGCCAGCCAACTGTCATGCCATCTCCTGCCAGCCAACTGTCATGCCATCTCCTGCCAGCCAACTGTCATGCCATCTCCTGCCAGCCAACTGTCATGCCATCTCCTGCCAGCCAACTGTCATGCCATCTCCTGCCAGCCAACTGTCATGCCATCTCCTGCCAGCCAACTGTCATGCCATCTCCTGCCAGCCAACTGTCATGCCATCTCCTGCCAGCCAACTGTCATGCCATCTCCTGCCAGCCAACTGTCATGCCATCTCCTGCCAGCCAACTGTCATGCCATCTCCTGCCAGCCAACTGTCATGCCATCTCCTGCCAGCCAACTGTCATGCCATCTCCTGCCAGCCAACTGTCATGCCATCTCCTGCCAGCCAACTGTCATGCCATCTCCTGCCAGCCAACTGTCATGCCATCTCCTGCCAGCCAACTGTCATGCCATCTCCTGCCAGCCAACTGTCATGCCACCTCCTGCCAGCCAACTGTCATGCCATCTCCTGCCAGCCAACTGTCATGCCATCTCCTGCCAGCCAACTGTCATGTCATCTCCTGCCAGCCAACTGTCATGCCATCTCCTGCCAGCCAACTGTCATGCCATCTCCTGCCAGCCAACTGTCATGCCATCTCCTGCCAGCCAACTGTCATGCCATCTCCTGCCAGCCAACTGTCATGCCATCTCCTGCCAGCCAACTGTCATGCCATCTCCTGCCAGCCAACTGTCATGCCATCTCCTGCCAGCCAACTGTCATGCCATCTCCTGCCAGCCAACTGTCATGCCATCTCCTGCCAGCCAACTGTCATGCCATCTCCTGCCAGCCAACTGTCATGCCATCTCCTGCCAGCCAACTGTCATGCCATCTCCTGCCAGCCAACTGTCATGCCATCTCCTGCCAGCCAACTGTCATGCCATCTCCTGCCAGCCAACTGTCATGCCATCTCCTGCCAGCCAACTGTCATGCCATCTCCTGCCAGCCAACTGTCATGCCATCTCCTGCCAGCCAACTGTCATGCCATCTCCTGCCAGCCAACTGCCATGCCATCTCCTGCCAGCCAACTGCCATGCCATCTCCTGCCAGCCAACTGTCATGCCATCTCCTGCCAGCCAACTGTCATGCCATCTCCTGCCAGCCAACTGTCATGCCATCTCCTGCCAGCCAACTGTCATGCCATCTCCTGCCAGCCAACTGTCATGCCATCTCCTGCCAGCCAAATGTCATGCCATCTCCTGCCAGCCAACTGTCATGCCATCTCCTGCCAGCCAACTGCCTGCCAGCCAACTGTCATGCCATCTCCTGCCAGCCAACTGTCATGCCATCTCCTGCCAGCCAACTGTCATGCCATCTCCTGCCAGCCAACTGTCATGCCATCTCCTGCCAGCCAACTGTCATGCCATCTCCTGCCAGCCAACTGTCATGCCATCTCCTGCCAGCCACACCAATCCATCCAGCTTCCTTCAGCACACCAATCCATCCAGCTTCCTTCAGCACCGATACCTAGAAGCGAAGAATCACACCAAACGGGCCCATGTACACTTGTTTGTAGCTAGTTGCATTGCACTAGACTTGTCAAATGTTGCAGCTAGAGATCCACCAGTGCACCACCGCCCACTTGCCCCATCCCTAGCGATGTATATATACAGTACACGCCCATGAAAGGTGACAGCATATATCCAGTCATAGCGTGGAGTACAGACCTACATCTTTGAACTCAAGAGGGCTAATAAAGCACAGTTGGTGATGGATGCTGCTGCGGCATGGAGTACAGTCAGAACGGGAAACACATGACAGGCAAGCAGGCATGGCATGGCAGGCAGGCATGCAACGTAAAGGTTGTGGGAAGTGGGACGGGTGGTGGGATGATGGGCAGGTGGATGGGTGAGCCTGTGCGGCCCAAGCAAGCATGAGGGAGCACAGGCAAAAGGAGGAAATGGCAGAGGAAGAAACCGGCATTAGCGGGTGGGTAATGGACCGGTGAAGCAGATATGTGACGTTGACAGGGAAATTGGCAATGGGCGATTGGTTGGCAACATGGCAGTGAGAATTTGGCCGGGAACCGACAATGGGATATCAATAAGGAATACAATCGGGCAATGCAACAGGAAAAACGGCAATATCGAGTTGAATCGAAAGTGACAATGGCAAGCTGATTGGACAGAACGACTTGAGAAATCGATTGGAAAGGTGAGAATGGGATTCGACTAGGCAAGTGAAAACGGTGGGACAAATGGCAATAAAAGGCAACTGGAAGATGGTACTGGGAATACGTATGTGAAATTGTGAATGAGGAAGAAGGCATTGAGAAGTTGGCTTTGAAAATGGCTATTGGAAGTTGGCATCGCAGAAATGGATAGAAAAGCGGCAACATGATTCACTGATAGATATGACGAGAGTTGGAAAGTGATAATGGAAGATGACTGGAGAAAGGAAACACAAAAAATGTGAAAACGACAATAAGCAGTTAATGTCAAGAAAAGCTACTACGGAACGAGAAGGCTGGAACCATGGGAATGAGAAGTTGACTACCATTTTAGAATAAATGAGAAGTTGATTGTAAGCATGACAATGGGATCACTAGGATCATGAAATGGGATGAGCAGGGGGGAATGAAATGGGATGAGCAGGGGGGCATATCAGGCACATTTGAACAAGTCGGCATGTTCATGACTTGACATGCCTGAGTGCATGGGACAGGTAACACCGTAACATGCAAGCGGGGAGAAGGGTAAATTGGAATCAATGGTAGTGGGAAGGACAGTGGGAATCCTGACTGAAGGAGAATCATCCAAAAGAGATGATAATGGCAAAACCCACAGAAGCCATCTGAAAGAGGGACTGATTAAACATTCCCTAATGCAGCTAATATGCAAGGGGGAAGTAGGTTTGGTAGAATGAATGGCAGTGTGCAAATGAGATGATGGACAATATGGAATTAACTGTGGGGGGAGTTTAAAAAAGAGATTGACAGCGGGAGTGGTAACGACAGATTCCTGACAATGTGGGAGAATGAAACTGGGAAGTGGGGAAAACAGCAATGGCAAAGAACAGAGGGGGATTGCAAGCGGGAAGAATACCGCGGGGTTTTGGCAGTTTAAGGTGACTTGGTAGCATAAGAGCATTGGGAAAATGATGATACCATGAACACAGCATGGAATGCCAATACCAGTACCCCACAAACACCACAGATCGTATCTTGCCAATGGGAACTGTGCATTCTGAATGGGCAAAAGGCAATGTTACCAACCATGACTGTGAAACGAAGTGCACAGATTGCCCCCTTCACACAGCAGGCATGTATGGCGCAGGTTGGGGAAGGAAGAATGAATGGCAGTTGCATATTGCCATGCCGCACCAGTGAATTACACGTCTTTGAGAATGCTCATGCTGGAGAGCAGAGGAGGAGCAGGTAGAGGAACAGCTTGTGATGAGGAATGGAGAGAGCAAGAGAGAAGGGATGGGATGGGGTATGGAGCGTACCTGAGGCAACTCTAATGCACTGTACTGCAGGGGAGGGGGGGGGAAGAGGGGGCCATAGCAGATTGATGGAAAACGGAAAAGGTAAGTGGAACAGGAAAAGAATATGGAACATTGACAGCAAAAAACGGATGATGAGAAAAGAGAGCAGGATATGACATTGATGAGATGGCATGGGGCACTTGAATAGTAAGAATGATGATCGTCAACAGAAAAGGAATTACGACGATGCAAGCAGAGCTGGCTGTGGAAAAATGACAATGGAACATGACTGTCGCATGATGAAAGTGACAATGGGATGGGATGAGAGCATCATAGCAGAGGATGATGTTAATGGGAGAATGAAGAAATGAAGTAACATCAGCAAAGCGACAAAGGGGGCACTAGAAGAAGGGAAAATGGCAATGGCAAAGCCAGCAAAGGGTAATTGATTGAACGAAGGATTGATTGAGAGTTTCCTATGGCAGCTTATGCAGTGGGAAAACAAAATGGGAGACCGAGAATGGGATGCTCACAATGCAAAGATGGCTGTTGTGAAAAAAGTCATGACAATCAGAGCATGACAGCTGCATGATGAGAGTGGAAATAAAACAATGCGACATGATAGCATAGATGATGCCAGTGCCATAATGGGAAGAGTGGCAAAGGGAAACTGACAGTGGGAATATGGTTCAAAATGAGCATTTGGAAAAATGAAGAACACCAGCGGGGGAGGGGGAAATGGCAAGAGGAAGATAACAACAACAAACAGTTGCCTACACACCTTCCCTCCTTCCCTTCTCCACTCCCTCAAACACAAGCTAGCACAAGGGAATGAAACTATATCTAATCTTTGCAATATAAACGGTTACAAGATGCTAAGGGAATCATGAGTCTAAACTAGAGAACTAGTCTCTAGCTAAGAGTCTGAATTCCGCGGACAGCAGATCCATTGCCATGCTCAGCCACCAGCCTCCCCACAGGCCACCCTCCAGCTGACCACATTCGTCCACCTCTCCTGCCATCTCTCCCACAACACCCTGCAAGCAGGGTGCAAAAAGGGGTAAGTCCCGCCATGCGCCTGCCACCAGCCCCACCAGCCATCATGCTCATCCCACCCACACCACAACTCCCTCCACATCCCATGGCAACACCTCTGGATCTGCTGCCTTCTACTGCTGCTAATGCTGCTGCTTCATCACCGTTCACTGCTTCCCTTGGTTGCTGCGCTGTGTGGCTTGGGAATGCCACTGGCTGCTGCTGAGCGTGGCTTGGGAATGCGAGTGGCGGCCACTGCTGCTGCTGGAGCAGCCGGTTTACGAGTGCTGTGAGGCGCAGCCTGCACTGCCTTAGCCGCTGAAGCCGTGTGCGCTGCCCTGCTCTGCCCAGGCTTAGGGATACCACTCGCACCACCGCCACCACGCCCTGAACCCTCTCCCAAACCTGCTGCTCGCCCTTCTGCTGCCTCCACCCCTCCCAACGCCGCCTTCCCTGCTGCTGCACGCACCGCCGTGTGTGCTGCCCTCCCATTGCCCTGCTCCCTCGCCTTCTCGCCTGCTGCTTTTGTTGTCACTGACCCCACTGAGTTACTCTTAGCAGCAACACTCTTAGCAGCTGCAGGCGTCATACGTGTGGCCTTGGCTAGCGTTGCTTTAGCTGCAGCAGCTGCAGGCTTAACGCTCTTCACAGCAGCTACAGGCTTCACAGCAGCAGCCGCTGTAGCCTTGGCTGACGATCCCCTGGCTGCTGCAGGAATAGCTGGAACAGTCCTCACAGCAACGTTTTTCACAGCGGCGCTCTTCATGTTAACAGCAGCGGTGGTGACAGCAGCGCTCTGCCCAGAAGCGGTGGTAGCAGCAGCGCGTGCACCCATGACGTGCGTGGGCGTGGGCGTGTTGCTGCGCGGCTGACTCACGGGCGTGTTGCTGCGCGGCTGACTCGCGGGCTTGGTGGGTCGCAGCGGGGAGAAGCCCAGCGACGCACGGGGGGAGCGCGCAGTGCTCTGCTCGTCCTCGTTCAACCGCCCCACGCGCACCGCAACGGCGTGCAGCCGCTGCTGCCGCCTCTTGCTCATCAAAGCACTGTTGGCGCTCTTAAAGCTGCTGCTGCCGGCGCTGCGGCTGCTGATGCTATTGCTGCCGCTGATGATGCTGCTGCCGCTGATGATGCTGCTGCCGCTGGTGCTGCTGCTGTCGCTGGTGCTGCTGCTTGCAACGCTAGAGCTGTTGCAGCCGTTTGTTGTCGTGCTTCTGGCAGTGCTGCTGTCAGTGCTGCTGGCAGCAGGTGCAGCGCCAAGAGTGAGGGTCACAATAGGCTCACAAAAGGGAATCCCAGGGACGTAAAGCCACGTCTGCTCGGCTTCACTGTAGTCCTCCCAGAACGCGTGGTCAATGGAGGAGTCTTCACCCATCGAGAATCCCAGCGGGCCAGACAGCCAGGTACAGTCTTCCTCGGATAAATCCTTCCAGAACTCGTGATCTAGGCCCAAGGACGTCAGCGGCGCGTACAGCCACGTGCCATCCGCCTCAGAGAAATCCTTCCAAAACTCGTAGTCAATTGAGGGGCTCGTAAACCGGATAACTGAGGCGTTCCGCGCGGCCATGGTACGAACAAGAGTCTAAGCAGCTAGGAATTTCAAGAATCGAGAACCGGGAGATGAAACCAGGTGATAGCTGTCAGAAGCAAGTATGAAATCGAACGGGTGAGCAAGTAAAAGCTTGAATGGGTGTGATGGAATGAATGAGAATGACGAGTGGCTTTGTAGTGTTGGAAATGCACGACAACTCCAAGGCGGAAAGGTGGATGGAGCTTGGGTGGAGAGAAGGAACGGTGGTGGATAGACTGTGGGAGGCAAGTCTGTTTCCCATAGCAAAAGTTGTTCATTCCGGGAAAGGCGTGCTCTGTGTTGTGATTGGACGAGAAAGAACGGAGGGGTTGAGCAGCCAATGGCATGCTGTGCGAAATAAATGCTCCAAGCATAGCCTCGAGGTTCGGTACAGCCGGACGAGATTGTCGCGGCTCGTTCATCTAGGACCAAGTCGATTTTGGGCAGCAAAATCTCAGCGTTTCGGCTGCCCAAGCTGAATTCGAATCGCACTTCCGTCAAGGTCGCCGCTGCTCGAGGATGAATCAGGCATACGTCTGCGGAAGCACGGTACTGGTTCTCGTTGACTGAATGTGGCGTTCCTTTGGGTGGGATCTCTGATCTAAGAAATGCTCGAGGCTGCTATGCCTTCGATTTCGTTCCGTCAGCGTCAACGAACTGCGAAAGCAAACAACCGAGGAAACTACGGAAGCGACTGAATCGGAAGCCAGCGGATCGCACTGCGGCGTGGCGCCTAACAATGAAAAAACGATCGGACGGTTCTTAGCTGCTGAGGAGATATCGGAGCCCCCGCAAACAAGTCTCGAGGAACTAGGGTTCCTTCCAAAACGCTCGTCAGGACGCGTCACAAGTAGAACATCGATCCTGCCTAGAATCGGTGTTTAGGTGGTTACACATTTTCGTTTATTTTCGCTAACGTACAGTTTTCCCTTCTAAGTCAGGTGTTCATACAGTTTCATTTTAGTGGAGAAAAACTTTTAGCATTTTGAATATGAGGTATCTTCCCCCTCTCTGCATTTTTATTCCTCTCCCCTTCTTTCGATGATCATTCTTCTTTCCTTTGTTCTGTACTTTTCCATTCTTACCTACGTGTAGCTCTTTGGACTTTTCTTCTTACTTTTTTTTCTCTTTCTTCTTTTCTGTTTACTCCAATTCCCTGCTATTTGTGTTCAGAAAGCCAGCTTGTGATATTTGTTTTTTCAAAGTCGCCATCTATATCCCCTCAACTTCTATTCCCCATTTCCCCCCTTTCGTATTTTCTACTTTTCAGAGGCTTTGCTGTACCATTCAGGAATTGAAGGTCCTTTTTAAAGGAAGAACGATCACATTTGTGGCGATTAGGTCTAATTGTGTTGTATTGCTTGGTAGTGATCTTTTGCATCTTCTGTGTTTTTTTTTTTCGCAAGTTCTTTTTGCATTGGCTTGTTCCGAGCTTCTGTGCGTGCGTGTGTTCGTCTGATTGCGTGCGTATGTGTCCGTATGTGTGGCATTCATCTACCATATCATTATCCATCTGTTATTTCATTAACAATGCATGTCTGTGGTTTTTAGAAATGAGAATCAGTTCTATCATTTCCCAAAGGTTCATTGAGTTACACTCGAACGGGTACGCTCACTTGAACTGAATTAGGTAGGTTGATCTCGTTTTTAGACTTCACAGATTGTGTTGTTTCATGTGGTAGTTGATTATTCAAAAGCTAAGCTATTGACCTCCCCCCCATGCTAGGCAGGGGATGGCGGTAGCTTAGTTTTTGGGTTGTTAAAGCAGCAGTATACATTTGGCAGCACTGTTGTTTCTGTACAGTGTGCCAGGCGATTTCGCCTCAACGAAAATGTAAACAGAATAGCGAGAGTGTTGGCGAAAAACTGGAGCACTTCCGTTGTAAGACGAGCAGGGTTGGGTAGGTTGTGGGTCACAAAATGGGAAACACCTCCCGTCACCGAACTTGCCACATCACACACTACGGGGAATACGCATCTAGTAGCTACTAGTTTAGGTACTAGGCAGCAGGCCGGAGGGTGCTAGGCCAGCAGCGCGACCACATACATAGACGCGGGTGAGTATTTAGCCGTGTGCAGAACAGGCGACGCCTGCGAGCGTCACTAGCGCCAGCGATGGTGGCACTCCGTGTGTGTCGTGTCATTCCGCGCGCGTCACTGGCGCCAGCAATGATAGCATTCCGTTAGCGGGACTTGCGCCAGTTACGCTATCATTCCGCGCGCAACACTTGCGCGCGCTGTGCTGGCATCCGCGCGCGGCACTTGTGCGCGCTATGCTGGCATTCCGCGCGCGCTAGCATAGCGCGCTCAGCAGAGCTGCGCTTGCCAGCAAAACGCGCGCCGCAAAGCGGCACCTGCATACCGCGCGGCGCGCCAGCACAGCGAGCGCATGTGACGCTTAGATGCCCCAGCAAACAGCACGCGGTTGCAAGCACGCGCTCTCCAGCGAAATTCAGTCTAGAAGCGCGCGCGAGCCAGCCATCCTACTGCAGCCACCAGTAACGCGCTGCTCGCCTCACGGATTTCTCCAATACACGAAATGCGTAAGGCCGCGTCCACACGTTTGGACTCATTTCCGCCCCTGCTTCCCCTCATTTCCGCCCCTGCTTCCCCTCATTTCCGCCCCTGCTTCCCCTCCTTTCCCCCCACGCATCCCCTCATTTCCGCCCCTGCTTCCCCTCATTTCCGCCCCTGCTTCCCCTCCTTTCCCCCCACGCATCCCCTCATTTCCGCCCCTGCTTCCCCTCATTTCCGCCCCTGCTTCCCCTCCTTTCCCCCCACGCATCCCCTCATTTCCGCCCCTGCTTCCCCTCATTTCCGCCCCTGCTTCCCCTCCTTTCCCCCCACGCATCCCCTCATTTCCGCCCCTGCTTCCCCTCATTTCCGCCCCTGCTTCCCCTCCTTTCCCCCCACGCATCCCCTCATTTCCGCCCCTGCTTCCCCTCATTTCCGCCCCTGCTTCCCCTCATTTCCGCCCCTGCTTCCCCTCCTTTCCCCCCACGCATCCCCTCATTTCCGCCCCTGCTTCCCCTCATTTCCGCCCCTGCTTCCCCTCCTTTCCCCCCACGCATCCCCTCATTTCCGCCCCTGCTTCCCCTCCTTTCCCACCACGAATCCCCTCAATTCCCCCCTGCCTCCCCTCCTTTCCCCCCTTGCTTCCCCTCCTTTCCCCCACTTCTTCGCATCCCTTCTCACCCCCTCATTTCCTCTCCGCATCCCTTCTCACCCCATCCTTTCCTCTCCGCATCCCTTCTCACCCCATCCTTTCCTCTCCGCATCCCTCCTCACCCCATCCTTTCCTCTCCGCATCCCTCCACACTCCATCTATCCTCTCAGCATCCTTTCTCTCCCCATCCCTCCTTGCCACCATCCCCTCAGGTTTTGTGGCGCTGTGTCCAGGAAAGGCGACCTGCTGCGTGCACTCTTTGCTTAGTTACTAGTATGCATGGATTGCCTCTCTGCTTTTACTCGTGACCACTGCTTTGTTTACATACTGTGTTATGGTAGGGAACATGCTACAAAGAGTGTTGAAGTCAGCAACCTGTAATGATGTCACAAAGCACTACGTTCAATAACCAGTTGGTAAAAACACAAACATGAGTTTGATGGCACGATGTGTTGGGTCAGTAAGAAATACCTAAAAGGGGAAAAGAGGGTGTGTTTATGTGCTAATGTTCAAGGCGGAAGATTGAATACTTGGATCGTATAAGGACAGGCCGATTGACCGAGAGGCTTGAAGCTGCTTTGCTCGTAGCCGTTGCCATGCTCCCCTGCCATTCCCATTGCAATCGCAGCCTATCCAAGCCCAGGTTGCAGGCTGTTATGTGCCCTGTGAGGCGTAGGATGTGCAGTCAGGAAAGCACCCCACCTGCAACACAAGCACAGAAATCGAGCAAGGGAATACAATGTGAGGGCTGTAGGAGGTCAGATTCAACTAAGAAAGAAACACATAAGTGTGGGGGACCTGGAGGGGCAGGGTGTGAGCAGAGCGCCCTTGGTAGAGGAGGGGGTAAGAAGAGGTAGGAGAGGGGAGGTGAGAAGAATGCCCCTGGGAGGGGGATGGGAGGTGAGCAAAGAGTGCCTGATAGGGCCAGGAGAGGTGGTAGGGGAGGGGAGATGAGAAGGGAGTAGGTGGTAGGGGAAGGGGAGGTCAGATGGGAGTATGTCGTATGTGGTAGGGGGAGGGGAGCAACGATGTGAGTAGGTGGTATGGGGAGGCGTGGTGGGCTGAAATCCCGTGGTAAGGGGGGGAAAGGGGAGGTGAGATTGGAGTAGGTGGTAGGGGGAGGGGAGGTGAGATGGGAGTAGGTGGGGGTAGGTGGGAGATGCATGTTGAAATTTCCCATGGCAATGCCGCTGTTGCTTGGGAGGTGACGACAAGAGAATCGAAAGGGGCTTGGTTACAGGTTTAGCGGAAGGGAAGGATGGCAGTGAGGATTGCAAGAGGAGAGAATGGCTGGAGGAGTGCGTAAGGATGGAAGGATGGGGGACAGGAAGGCAGGGAGAGAAGGGAGGGAAGGGAGGGCAGGGAGAGAAGGGAGGGAAGGGAGGGCAGGGAGAGAAGGGAGGGAAGGGAGGGCAGGGAGAGAAGGGAGGGAAGGGAGTGAAGGGAGAGGAAGGGAGACATGGGAGAGAAGGGAGGAAAGGGAGTGAAGGGCGAGGAAGGGAGACACGGGAGAGAAGGGAGAGAAAAGGAGGGAACGGAGAGACTTCTATCGAAGGGAGAGAAGGGAGGGAAGGTAGTCAAGGGAGGCAAGGGATGAAAGGGAGTGAAAGGAGAAGCAGGAGAGATGTCGGGAGGGAGAGACGAGGAAGGGTAGGGATGAAATGGAAGGTAACGGAGATACGGTGGGGGGGAGGAGAAGGGCGGGAAGGGAGCGAAGGTATTGAAGGGAGAGAAGGGCGGGAAGGGAGCGAAGGTATTGAAGGGAGAGAAGGGCGGGAAGGGAGGGACGGGAGGGACGGGAGGGACGGGAGGGACGGGAGGGACGGGAGGGACGGGAGGGACGGGAGAGAAGGGAGAGAAAGGAGAGACAGGAGATTGCATGGAGGGATGAGAGGGAAGGGAGAAAAGGGAGAGAAGGTAAGGGGGGAGAGAAGGGCGGGAAGGGAGAGAAGGGAGGGAAGGAAGGAGAAGGTTTCCAGGGAACTGAGCTGGCAGATGGAGTCAGGCAGGCTCGCAAGCGGCAGTCTTTCCAAATTCAGAGTTTTCAGGGAAGACAGGCTCCCAATCTTTTCAGGCAGGAGGCATAATCGGTTGCAGCTGAAGAGTAACAAGGTCTCGAGGTGCTTCAGGGAATAGAAACTTTCAGGCAGCTCCTCCAAGAGATAGCATCCGATAATGGTCACCTCACGAATACGCGGCAGCAATTCCGCAAAGTCGTCCGGAAGCCGCTTCAGTTCTTCGCAAAATGAGATCTGCAGCCGTTCCAGACTTGTGCATGGCCAATCGGACAGCAACAGATGGCAGGTACTCCACGATTTTATCAACGGTAGCTGTGCGATGGTGAACACAGGCGAGCTCGGATCATTAAGAGAAAAATCGGTCTCAGAGATTTCAATGTTAGTGATGCTGGGGAGACGACGTACGTTGGCGAGCTGCGCATCGCTCAACTTCGAGGAAACGATATGGAGAGTGGTGAGAGAGGCGAGGTTTCCCAGATCTGGAGTTTCCAAGGCGGAAGCAGCTGTTAACGCCAGGGTGTGTAGACGCGTTAGCTGGAAGAAGGAAGGCGGTAGGTTGGCGTCTCGATGGAGGCAGAGCATTGAAAGCTGCTCCAGCTGAGTGCAACGCTGGAAGAAGCGATGCAGACCAGCTTCGGTGATCGGGTGCAGGTGCTTCCCCCGGGCATCAATCAGACGCTGCGTGATCGAGCGTCCCACGTGGAGAATCGCGAGCTTCGGACACGACGATGCGAGGTGAGCGAGAAAGGTGTCACTTAGGTTTTCCACGCTGCTATAGCAGAGACGAAGATGGGTGAGGTTTGGGAAGCAAGCGACGGCATGCGAGACATGTTGTAGCGAACATCACAAAAATGTGTGCGTCTGGAAATCATCTGACCATTTTTTTTTAAGCAAGTTTTCAAAAATCGTTTGACAATCATCCTGGAATCATCTATATATCATTTGTATATCATTTTTGTCGGACCAAATGCTTTGCTGATGTTTTAGTAATGGTTTTGCAATGTTTCAATGAAATGTTTGTCAGATGTTAATTGTTGAAACAATAATAAGGTTGAAAAAATTTATGATTAGTAAGTTAAGTGTGGATCATTATGATACCTCAATTTCGAGACGCAGCAAGGTAATAAAACTAGCTTGAGGAGAGGACAGTAGCTAAATTTCAAAAAAGGTCTGCTCTAGGATTTGAACCCGGGTCTTTCACGTCAGAGCCAAATTTCGTAACTGGCTGGACTACAAACACTACTTCGAAGTTTTATAATAATTTATATGTCCTAAGTCAACGCGCATTTGCCAAACCCCTATTACACTTTCCCAACCAACCCCAACCAGGCCAGAAATCTCTCCAACCAACCAAATTCGCCTCATTCAATCCAGCTCAGCATACCACTTTGTTCAACCAGTCAAAGCCGGCATTGCATCCACCTCAACAAAATCCAGCCCAACCACCACCACTTGTGCCAACTAACCAACCCCATCCACACCACCTCCCTCCACCCTACCCTTTACGCTTGCACAGAAAAGGTGAAGTGGGCTCTCATTTTGTTATTCTAGGGTGGCTGTGACTGATTTTAGTTTAGTTCTTCCTTGGCACGTTTTCCAGTCTCGTTATCTCAACGGCCGCCGTAGTCTCAACCGTTGTCATTGTCTCAACCGTCGCCGTTGTTTAACTGTCGCGATAGTCTCAACCGTCCCAGTAGCTCGTTATTTTCTGCAATTGCCACGAGTGCGCCTAATTGGCTGTGTGTCTCTCCCCTCGTGCACTCCGTTTACTTCGTGTAGGTGTGTGCTCTGTGGTACTTGCGCTTTCCTCGTTTAAATTCCTCTTGATCAACATGTGCAGGTCGAAGCCCAGGTCGCGCTGTTTTCTGATTAAGGTCACATTAGATCCTTCTCTGTTATCTAACAAATGTTGTTGGCTGTGTCTCTACGGTCATGCAGTCCGTTTACTTAGTGAAGCCTTGTGCTCCGCGGTGCATATCTCTCTCCTCGTTTTAAGTCTTTGTTATCCCCGTGTACAGGTCGCGCGGTTTCCTTCAAAGAAGCGCTAGTTCCTACTCTTTGTCAGAATATTATGCTCTAGCCTGTAGTGGGGTGCTCTGTAGCGAGTACAACCCTTCTAGGGTTTGCTATTTGTATCCCCATTCTTGCTAGTGCAACCCTCCTCTTTCGCCTAAACTCTCTTGCCTAGCTAGGACTCTCCTAGCTATGGCTCCTAAGACTACCGGTTATCTTGACATGCTATCAGAGCGGTTACGCTCCTGGCCTGTGGGCCCGCCTGCTTCCGCTGCCTTCCTGTGTGTCGCGCGTCCCGTGGCGCGCGATGTTCGTTTTTTCTTCCCGCCGCGCGCTCGGGGCGCGCGGCGGTTTTCTGCCCGCCGTGCGCCCCGAGGCGCGCGGCGGTTTCCCACCGTCGAAGCGCCCCCCGTCGCCCGTCGAAGCGCTCCCCCCCGTCGCCCGTCGAAGCGCCCCCGTCGCCCGTCGGAGCGCCCCCCGTCGCCCGTCGAAACGCCCCCGTCGCCCGTCGAAGCGCCCCTGGGACCCGCGCGCGGCCCGTACGGGCTGCGCCAGGCCCGCGCGCGGCCCGTACAGCCCGCGCGCGGCCCGTACGGCCTGCGCCAGGCCCGCGCGCGGCCCGGGCAGCCCGCGCGCGCCTCGTCCGGCCTGCGGCAGGCCCGTGCGCGCGCCTCGTCCGTCCCCCGAGCTTCTGCCGGCGCCCCACCCCCGCTACTGCCCGCGTTCCTGTGTTAGGGTTTGGGGGTGGAGGGTATGGGGGTGCCGTGAGTGTGAGCCGTCCCCTGCTCCTCCTCCTCCTCCGTCTCCCACTGCTGCAGCTGCTGCTCAGGGGGGTGGGTGTGTGGGAGCCGAGGGTTTAGGGTTTAAGGGGGGTGCCATGGGAGTGGAGCTAGGGTTTCAGCAGGGGGTGTGTGTCGAGGGGTGTGGGACTGTTGGGGGAGGTTGAGGGGAGGTTGCCGTCGTGTCGTACGCAGCGCCTGTACTCCGGGGCATGTCAGAATATTATGCTCTAGCCTGCAGTGGGGTGCTCTATAGCGAGTACAACCCTTCTAGGGTTTGCTATTTGTATCCCATCCTTGCTAGTGCAAACTCCTCCCTTTGCTTCATTCTCTCTTGCCTAGCTAGGTCATCCCTAGCTATGGCCTCTTACTATACCTACTATTTCGACATGGTATTAGAGCGGTTACGCTCTTGGCCTGTGGGCCCCACTACTGCTTCCGCTGCCCTACTCTGTGCCGCGCGCCACGGGGCGCGCGGCCTTCAATTTTTCATCCCGCCGCGCGCTCGGGGCGCGCGGCGGTTCCCTGCCCGCCGTGCGCGCCGAGGCGCGCGGCGGTTTCCAGCCGTGGGGGAGCCCGCGCGCACCCCGCCCGTCCGTCGCGGCGCCCTGGGGAGCACTCGCGGCCCCCACCCTGCACGTCGCGTCGCCCCCGTCGACCCTCGCGTCGCCTCCGGGGACCCGCGCGCACCCCCCCACCGTCGACTCGCCTCCTGTCGCCCGTCGTGGCCTGCGCGCGGCCCGTACAGCCGGCGCGCGGCCCGTACGGGCTGCGCCAGGCCCGCGCGCGGCCCGTACGGGCTGCGCCAGGCCCGCGCGCGGCCCGTACGGGAAGCGCCAGGCCCGCGCGCGGCTCGGGCCGCCTGCGCGCGGTTCGGGCGGCTGTGCCAGGCCCGTGGGCGGCCCGTTCCTCGCTGCCCCTGCCCTCCCCACTGTCCCCCGTGCTTCTACTGGCGCCCCACCCCTCCTACAGCCCGTTCTCCTGAATTAGGGTTTGGGGGTGAGGGGTATGGGGGTGAAGACACTGCGTGCCGTTCCCTGCTCCTCCTCCTCCTCCCTAGTCTCCCTCTGCTACAGCTGCCGCTGAGGGGGGTGGTGTGTGGGAGCCTAGGGTTTGGGGTTTAAGGGGGGTGCCGTGGGAATGGAGCTAGGGTTTCAGCAGTGGGTGTGTGGGGGGTGTGTGGGGCAGTTGGAGGAGGTTGAGCGGAGGTTGCCGTCGTGTCGTTCGCAGCACCTGTATTCCGGGGTTCCGCGGACCTCCGGTAGCTCAGAGAGCCGGCTGCACCTGTCGCCCGTGGGTCCGCTGCACCCTCTGCAGCGGATATTACCCCTGTATTCCGGGGCTCTGCGTCCGGTAGCCACTAGAGTTGCACCAGTGCCGTCTGTTGCCCGTGTGTCTGCAGCTTCAGTCGTCGTCTCCACTCTTCTCTCCTCTCGCCAGCCCTCCTCCTCCTCGCTTGCCCTCTGTGACAGCTTTAGCTTTACCCATTATTGTGAACTTTAAACTATTGCCTTTTGAACTTGTGCTCAGAATGTGTGGTGACATTGTGATCCACCCTGAGCTTGTACTGCTTGCTTGTTCTGCTGATTACACCCCACTTTGGCTATGGGGGTGTGTCAGAATATTATGCTCTAGCCTGCAGTGGGGTGCTCTATAGCGAGTACAACCCTTCTAGGGTTTGCTATTTGTATCCCATCCTTGCTAGTGCAAACTCCTCCCTTTGCTTCATTCTCTCTTGCCTAGCTAGGTCATCCCTAGCTATGGCCTCTTACTATACCTACTATTTCGACATGGTATTAGAGCGGTTACGCTCTTGGCCTGTGGGCCCCACTACTGCTTCCGCTGCCCTACTCTGTGCCGCGCGCCCCGTGGCGCGCGGCCTTCAATTTTTCATCCCGCCGCGCGCTCGGGGCGCGCGGCGGTTCCCTGCCCGCCGTGCGCGCCGAGGCGCGCGGCGGTTTCCAGCCGTGGGGGAGCCCGCGCGCACCCCGCCCGTCCGTCGCGGCGCCCTGGGGAGCACTCGCGGCCCCCACCCTGCACGTCGCGTCGCCCCCGTCGACCCTCGCGTCGC